GTGCAATTACAGTTTTGTATAAAAGTATAATGCTTTAATCAGTAACAATGTAGGTTGCCCTTTATCCAAGGTAGGTTGCTATTGAAAACGGGCGAAATCGGACTGTAACCACGCCTCCCTCTCATATAAAGGTATTTTCGAAAAACTATGATATTTCAGTAAATATTGGATCCAAATTGTCGAAAATTAGTATGTGAAGTAGAATTTTGGTGCAAAATGATATTATTGTTATGAAATTTTGGAAAAGGGGCGCCCCCTTATGATGAAATACTTTATCTTCGTAGCCGCTTCACCAATCCTTACCAAACTCGGTACGAGCCTTGCTTAGGATCCAGCTAAGAAATTTGTTGAAAATCTTTGAAATCGGGCAATGGCCACGCTCACCTCCCATATAACGGTAATTTATAGAAACTCGAAATAAAAATAATATTTTGTCTTTCAATTCACCACAGTCTTTCGAAAGACAAAAGTCTTTCGTCAATTGCCAATGGTGACTACTATCTTGAAAGCTCTTGAAAGATCTGCTAACGAAAAAGTCTTAGCGTTATGCTACTGGCCTTTCAGCAACAAGTTTTTTTAATTAAGTAAAAAATATATATATTTTTCTTTTTAAAACAATAAAAAATAAAATGTCAATAACATATGTTTTTAACAATAAAATCGAGAATTAAATTTGAAAATAATAAATATATCAAAATAGAGGAAAATGATATTAAAAGTAAAACAAAATCTAAAAATTTAATTGAAAAAGATAATAAATAAATAAAAAAAAATCTTAAAAATTAAATGATATAAAAACATATTTTTCTTTTTTCTAAGCGTTAAAATAAAATAAGACTAACAACAGAAATACAAATTTTATTTAAAAAAGAAAAAATTAACAAAATAAAATTCTAAAAATTAAATTAAGTTAAAAAAATATTTTTCTTTTTGAAACAATAAAATCTAAGAATCAAAGAAAATGAAACCAAAAAAAAATTTATTCAAAAAAGAAAAAATAACAATTTTATAGAATTAAATGAAATTAAAAAATATTCTTCTTTTTAAAAGAATAACATCTAAACATTAAAATTAAATTAAATTAATAAAGAAAAAATTATTTTTATATATATGTATATTTTTCTTTATAAAACAATAAGATCCATAAATTAAAAAAATTTAAAAAGGAAAAATATGTAAATTAAAAACAAAATAAAAAAATTCCTTTTACCGAGACTCGAACTCGGATCTCTCGAATGGCACGCCTGTGCTT